AATGGATGAGATTATATTTCTCGGAATGAATCTCAGCCTTGTCCTTAGTTAGCATTCAGTGTACACCATGCCTAGCTGACCTACTCTGGCTGAACCATGTCCCTGAACAGAGCGGGCACATCTGAATCTTCGGGGGCGAGAGAGAGCAAGCGCTTGGGAAGCTGGACTGCCGAACTCTAGTGGTCATGGTTCAAGTGAGAATAGAGCGCATGAGGCCAACTCCGCTATCAACTTTAGCCTGTTACTCTAATGGTATTCTTGCACACTGCAATATGGGAGGTGTCAGCTGTTCAGTTCAAGTCCGCAAGGATAAGAATCCACCAGATAACATGCAAAATCTAATAGAATCAAAACATAGTGGACCAAAAGGTCAAGATTGAGCTACTTAGCATGGTCCTGTTAGCACCTGCGACTAACCTGCTCTAAAAACCATTTTTCTCAATGTAAATTTAGGCATATTTTTTTAATAATATACCAGCTGAGCTACTGCCATCCAAATGAACGGGAATGCTTAGAAACAGCTCTCTCTAGACCTTCTTGTAATGGACAGGAACCTCAGGAGAGTGAGAGATCCTTAAGAGATAAAGTCAGGAAAAAGTAGAGTCTGCTCTTGGAATGACAGTAAATGATCCTCACTGTTGGTTTTGCCTGATTCTAAAGCTGCCATCAAGCTGAATGAGTTTTGGTGTCTATTGGAATGCAGCTCCATTTCATTTCAGCTACACCAAGGAGCAAAAGCTTTGAGATCTATCATATTTTTCATAATGTACGTCATCTTTTTATCATCTGAAACAAAATAAAAATGAAATGGGAGGAAAAATGCTTTCCCATTCTCTCATAAAAGTATTGCCTTCCTCCAAGCAACTTTGCATTCTCTCGCAGAACATTTGGGTTTTCTAGCAAAAGTATTGCATTCCCCCGAGAAAATTTACTTCTGTCAGGACCACTATCGTCAAAGATGATTGACAATTAGCATACAGTTTGGATTGGCGGTATGGTTCTGTTCTGGGCAAGAACTCCCTGCGCATCCATGCTGCCTAGCATGGATGAGAGCAGGGAGAGCAGCAATTATCCCCCAGGGTAAACAGAACAGAACCAACATAAATGTATTGCACATATTGTTAAAGTTCAATTATTTTATGTACACATTTTAGAATTAGTCTGACTCAAAGGAGAATCAGAAGGCTGAATCCTGACTGACAGAGGAGGAGTTGGGGATGGAGGAGGTTAATTAGCTATTGAACAATGCAAAAACTGATGATAATACTGAGGGACCTTATATATGAATGCTTAGATGGGTGTCGTATTCCCATAGGTAGATGGGGATCAGCTGAGAGTCAGCTGATGCGAGCTTGACTAACGTGACCTGCCAGAACTAACGCTACGCTTGATATTCTCTCAAAACATTGCATTCTCTCTCAAAAATGTTGCGTTCCCACAAGAAACATTTGTGTTCCCTCGCAAAACATTTCCATTCTTTCGCAAACTTAGTGTGTTCTCTCGCAAACATATTGTGTCCCCCCAGGAAACATTTGCGCTGTCTCAAAAAACATATTCATTCTCTTACAAATGTTTTGCGTTCCCATGAGAAATTTTGCATTGTCTCACAAAAGGACTGCGTTTATCCGAGAAACTTTGCACTCTCTCACAAAAAAATGTGTTTTCTCGCAAACGTCTTGCGTTCCCCCCAAAATTTGCATTCTCTTGCGAAACATTTACAAGCTCTTTGAAAAGTACTGCATTTCCCCGTGAAAGTTTGCACTTGCTACCAAAAGCACTGAAATCTAGTTTTTCCTCCCACATATTAATTCCATCACAAAAGTGTCACAAATTAACACAAAGTTTGTTGGGGGAACGCAAAAGTTTCACAAGAGATTGCAAAAGCATTGAAATAATTGTTTTCCTCCCATCTCATTTTATTTTCCATCAAAATGTTCCCTTAGGGGCTTTGTATATTACTAAGCAACTTATAGGATGCAATTAATTTCAAGCATACAAAACAAGCGCACATTTAGACTGGCGAGCCCAAATTTATTTGTATAGCACATTTCCCCCACACTGGTAGTTTAAGTTTTGCTTTGAATAAGTTTAGGCTTGACATTTATAATAAATGTTGTTTATAATGAATGCCACTACAATTTATATTTGTTTTATACTTGTGTTTTTCATTCCTGTTTTGAAAACCATGATTTTCTGTTTCTGTTTTCCTCCTGAAAAATTCAATTGATTGACCTGGTGTGACTTCTTTTCCAGAAAATCCAGTACTGTATGCCTGATCCATATCTCAGCTTGAACTGTTGCCATATTTGTCGATGCTGAATGTAAAAACGATTGTAAGAGGTAATTACTGCAAAACCATCTGAAATATAGTGAAGTTTGAGGTAGGTATTTTATGCAAAGCGAACAAAAAGTGAAAATTTTGTCAAAAAAAGAAGAGGGTGAGAGCAGCCCATGAACATTAAGGTTGAAACCAACCAATCCTTTAAAAGATCCATTTACTAAAGTTTCCACACTGGAAAAAAAAGGTGGAACCAATAAATCAATGTTCAGTCTGGAATATCCTTTATCTTCAGTAAACCTGGAGGTCAAATGCAAAGTAAGCCTTCAACCCAGACAGACTTACTGTAGGGTAAATGTATGGCTTAGTGTTGTTGAAGTAATACACTGTACGGCAAATTCCAGTTATAGTCTGGCTACTCCAGTCATTTCAGTAAGGACAAAGAGTAAATCATTTCTATATGGACTTCACTTTGTGCACAGGGTGAAAATGTCATGCCGGAACAAAAAAGGCCCTTCCTAAACTGTTGCCACAAAGTTGGCAGCCCATAATTCTCCAGAATGTCACTGCTTGGTGCAGCATTAAGATATAAAACATTGTACAGCTTCCAAAACCATTAAGGGAGGAGGAGTCCATCTACTTTTGGTAATATATTTTAGTTTGGTCATTTATTTTAGTTTAGCACAATAAATGTTGTCTTTAACACTTCAAGTTTCTGAAGTCAAAATTCACTGACAATCATCCCTAACAGTAAGATCTTAACTTGAGAACCACAGAGACTGTAAAATGAAGTCAGAATCATGAACAAATCAGTTTGATAGGAAACTGAATCATTAAGTCTGATTTGCTAACTGGATCAAACAATTTATTGACAACCAGCTTAAAAGAATGATTCGGGAGGTTACAGCTCACTGGAGGGGAAGATATTGGTCCCAAAAAATGTTGGCCTATTTTCCATACAAGGCAGTTTTATGACTTAAATATAATTCACACATATGCTATTTTTAGGTTACCTTATGGTGTCCATCTGTTTTGGGGCTTGATGGCCATGGCAACCATAAACTACTGTTGTAAGAAAAATAGTTCCCCCCCCCCCCAAAAAAAAATCTTATTTTATGTTCTACATAACAATAAATGTATAAAATAATGCTATAGGTTCTAAATGTTATGAGGGCCAGTAAAAAACAAAAAAAGCCTTATTTTGCAGTTAACTATTTATTTAACACTTTGGGGAGGAGGAAAAAAAATATTTTTGTATCCAAAAATGACATAGTGTGTTTAAGTAAAATAAAATAAAAATATTACTGAATTGAAGCCTGAATGAAAAAGCAGTTTCCAACTCTTTGCAAGAGCAGGATCAATATATTAAGTTTCTTCACTTTCATATCAATTTGCTACATCGATAAAACACTTGGAAGGGAACATCTATGCAACAGTAAGGAAATACAGTTAATTCCAGTTGTGTCCAATGTGAAAGGATATGCGTCATCACAGATTAAGTGAGAAGAGAGTCTTGCTGTGTTTAGACGGGCTGGAGAGGCATTGTGCAAATTTCATACATCACAATCTGCATGAATTTAGAATCTATCATACTGTCATGGTGAGTCATTATGTGTTCTGCAGAGGCAAACATTTCCTACTAGTAATGCATATTATATAGTGACTATGCAAAAAATAAAATAGTGTGTAACAACGTAACAGTGAATGCATGTGTTATATTCGCATACATTGACTGTTACAATGTTGCACACAGTATGTTTTTTGTTTTTTTAGCATGTTTCTTAATTTTTTTGCGCTTTTATATATCAGGGGTTGCTATTAATCAATTTACTTACTAACTAATTCATTTTTGTCATATGAAGTTCACTTTAAAACGTACAATTTAAAGTGACAGATTTTCCCGTTGTACCACTGTCCCACACTTTCAATCTTGAAATATAAGAATCCATCATAAAAAAAATAATTATCCATTAAGTTTTTTAAAGCTGTGATAATCTAAATATGTTGAAAATATTTGAATATTTCTTGAGTGAAAATTCTTTGTATGAACACAGATTATGACTGTCTGTTGTAGCTGTGAAATTAAAAATGAATTAAAAATTAAAATGATAGCTACAAAATTAGCCAAAGGAAGTCATTTCCACCAAAAACATTTTCACATTCCCAAAAGAGTATAGTTGAAAATAAATAAATACTCATACATAATACAGTAGGCATGTTATATATGTAAAGGGCTCCGTACCAAAACCTAGTGTGCTACCTTGCTCAAATTGAACCTCGGCAGCACGGTGTTGCTGCTAGAATTTAACATTAGCATATTGCTAAATTAACAACGTACTCTAATAAGCATAAAAATACACAGACACACAAATATAAGAAAACTAGCCTCTGTGAAATTAATCACATTTTACTGTTACTTTTCAGTATTTAATTATTTATATTTATAATCAACATTTCTCTCACATTGCATACCATCTTAAATTATTATTATTATTTTAATTTTTTTGACTGAGCTTGTTGCAGTGCATTCTGGGATTCTTCATATTCGCGCTGCCTACCTTTTGGAACATCAGAAGTGCGCCTACATAGGCAGGTCACCAGCTTATGAAACAAAGTTTATGAGTTTTGGAAAACACAGATATCATCATCTAAATTTGATTGCTCCAAAGCAAGAATAATGAAGATGCCAGACAGTCAGGAAAATTCATGAGGGAGAACTTACCTTCTGAATCTTGAGAATAGCTAGCAGCGGTGAGCAGAAGAACGCCAATGCCTATTCCCAACCATTTAAAGAGCCACGACCTCTGGTGCATCTTCATGTATTACAGCATGCTCACCTGTGAACATAAAAGAGACAGATTACGGATAAAATGCTTCTCTCGCATATATGAGCCGCATAATGGTGGTTGCACCATTTAAGACGCATGAGTCATAAGTCGTATAATTGGTAGCCTTTAAACATGGTGCACTTCTAGACAGACTCTAGGGGGATTCAAATGCCAAGTGACCATTTGATTTTCATCTCTTTGAGGAAATGATTTACCGTTTGTCATTAAAAGCAATCCCAAGGACTTTGAAGTTTACTCACGGAACATTCTAATTAATTCTGGTATCAAAACAGACAATGATACCGGCTGAGTCAATTTCCCAACCATAATTACTCGAGTCATTTTACATCATAAAAATAATAGAGAGTTTGGCTTTGGGGATGTTGCATCAAACTGAAATCCTCGGTAATAACAGTGGGCAGGAAGTATTTGCTGCACATGTAACCTTTCCCTTTGAAGTGAGCAGAGAGCTAGATAGCGTTCTTCGTGTGAGAGATATAACAACCCACAGCAAAGTGCAGCTTTGAAGTTTGCAACATGTCTGAGGGGTCAACGAACTCCTTCCTGGAAAAGACTCAAAGACCAACATGCTCTGACAGGTTTGGATGGAAGGAAGAGATAAGCTTTGCTCCTAGATGAATAACGTCAATTTATTTATATTATGACTAATCAGAGGAGACCGAGTCAGAAGTGAATCTTACAATGATAAGAGTCTGTATCATCTGAAAGAAAATAGATAACGCAATCAAATCTATAGCAATTCTTTAAATGAGGTCAATTTTAGTGAAGGATGGAGACAATAGTGCTCAAAAACACTGATTACTGAGATTAGATGGTGCCCAATTTTACGTGATTTTGACAACAGCATGTCCATTTCATCAGAAAAAAAAGTTCTAAACAAGCGTACGGTTTCATTTTTATTATGTCTTTATTTTATTTCATCCCCCATTTTACAAGGTTTCACGGCTGTGTTATTACTCAGTATAAACAATTTTGTAGGCTAAAAATGAGTTAGCATTTTGCCACTTCCGGTTCCATCGTCCTGAAGTCAATTGGTTTTTTGAATGGGTTTTGGGTTAAATGCCTGAAAGGAGGTCTGAAGTTAACACAAGCTCAAGATATTTTCACGTTTTGTTCTACAGCTTAAAATACACCAGTAAAACCAGTAATGTGATTTTTTTTAAGCTTTTACTTGTCTTAAAAAAGGCAGCTGCTAACAAGTGGTTAAATGGGACTATAGTGATTTTCTGAGACCTTAAATGTCATCACACCAAACGGGGGAACTCATCTTATCATAAATCTGCTTTTTCATCCTCATTGTGTTTATAATCATGCTCTTGCCAACTATGCTCAAATTTTAAAATAAAGAGTAAACGAGTTGTTGGAAGCTTAACGGTGGTGACACTGGAGTCTCACAACTGAGGTGTTGCTATATAGCCCACCACGATTAGCTTTTTACATCTGGCCATTGTATTTTGGCTTCGAAATTCATAAACGTTGTGTTCATTGGTGAACAAAATGTGCACAATGAACAAAACAAATTATTGTCTTTTGTTGGCCACAAACCTTATGTCAAAAGCCAATGGAAAAATTCTATTGGGTCTTTGTCGAGGGAACCAGGGTGATGCTAACTTCCAGGTTGATAAATAAAAAATATATATCACGATAATATTTTTGGTCCATAATATCGTCCAGCCCTAGTGTGATATGCAAAATATAATTTTGTCAGCACAGTCCGTCAATAGATGTAGCTGTTATCAGATGCTGTGTTTTCATGTTTCATGAAAACAGGATTCAGGTTTCAATTCTGTTTCATGTTAGTTTTGTCAATACCGATTATAAATATATGATATGACAGTACATGGTTTTTTTTTGTATACGGCTATGTCGGCCCATATTATGTAACAGGCAGGGACAAGCAGAGTATTCTGTACCTGATTCTGACACTGTCTAATAAAATGTGTAAATAGGAACTGAGAGAACAAAACAGCCTTATTGGTAGCTGAAAGCATAATCAAGAAGTTAGCCTAAATATTTAATAAATAATAATGAATATTAATAAAAAAATGAATATTTAAAACTACCTTAAAAAATTAATAGCTATTTAATATTTAATAAAAAATAATACATATTTATTCAAGAAACACACATGTAGAACTCAACATATGTTTTGATTCTGTGGAAATCTATGAGTTCTGCAGGTACAGATTCATATGGGTCTACTAATAAACAAGGAAAAAACACACACACACAAACTTGGTTGCACAAAAACATAATTGTACATTTTATGTTTTCAGTTATATGGCCTACTTTTTCCCAGTACTCAGAATTGGTGATACAAAAAAAAAAAAAAAAAAAATTAATTTGACGTCATCGACAGATATACTATGTGAATGGAAATAAGTGCATTTCCAAATCACATAAGAACTGAATGAACATCACCTCAGCACAAGCTAGTCTTCAGCATCTGTAATACAATCTTGACAGATTTCTTTCAGGTATCAGGACATGGCTTTGCAAAACCTACAGAGGCTATTTTGAAAAGTCAATAACAAAAAAAATTTAAGAACTCCAGATGTCTGGTTGTGATCCAGATGTCAAATCACATCAGCAAATTCAAAGATACTTGACAAAAAGTTCCATTGCTGAGTGAAAAAGAGACAACCATAGAGAAGGAGAGAGGGAGACATGTACTTTCAAGCCTTTCGACTTGTACTACATCAAAACCCTCAACACTGGAGATGATCATTGCACTGCCATGCTCGCTGACTATCATTATGAATGGTCTTTGTTCTTCTGAACTGAAAGGGTCTTTGGAGACACGAATGTAATTTCATCCTCTGTTGTCAGGACGGAAGCATATCTCTCCCCTGTTTTCCTTAATACAAAGGTCTTCCTCTGGACAATCAATGACAGATGCTTCAGCGCTACGCCGTGAGAATGCAACGGATTGACGGCAGACGCAGTATGTCAAGGGGAGAGATCTATAAATGTTTCCTTCAAAATTTATTTTTAGCTTCAAGAAATTAGACAAAATTGAGTGCGGCCTTTTGTGTGCAGCCTTACAATCAGTGCACAATAAAGCTACGGGCCTCCAATAAGCTAATGGTCTAGAACAGCGCTCTCTAGTTGAACCCTAATCTCTCAGAGTAACTGAGACAACACCTGCTCGACTGTGTAAAGGTTTCCCTGAGCCACAATTTCACAAAGAGGGGCTGGACATATGTTGCCTTCAAATCACGTCAGAATAATCGTATTTATGAGATGAGTGCACATGAGTGTCACCAATGTCAAAATTACCACTAGGGAATCTTTTAAAAAGCCCAGGTATTCAAAATGCGGGTGTTTAATGGAGGAAGCACTTTTTTGTTGGTGGACAGATGGATGAATGGATTTATGAGAGAAAAACAGACACAACAATAGATAGAATTATATATAAATAGAACAGCAGATAGATAGATAGATAGATAGATAGATAGATAGATAGATAGATGATGATGGATGGATGGATGGATGGATGGATGGATGGAACAGACAGGCAGGTAGACTGACAGATAAAATGACAGACCGCTAGAAAGACTGATAGATAGACAGATAGACACACAGAATGATAGAACAATAGACAGACAGACAGACAGACAGACAGACAGAGAGATAGACAGATAAAATGACAGACCACTAGAAAGACTGATAGACAGACAGACAGACAGACAGACAGACAGATAGATAGATAGATAGATAGATAGATATAGATAGATTGATTGATGATCAAGACAGACAGACCAATAGATGGACCGCTATATAGACCAATAAAGAGAATGATAGAACAATAGATCGATAGAATGACAGACACACAGAATGATAGAACGATAGACAGGGACATAGATAGAAAGATGAATGAATCACAACAAGAGGAACAAAAGCACAACTGGCAAAAGCTCAATCTCCTATTAAATGAACCTTTTTTTTTCTCAATTACTGGCAAAAAGCAAGACACTCAAAGAGCAAAAGCACTTTTATTAGATAATTGAGGGTAATGCTAAAATCAGTCAGCCTCAACGCTGAACTGAGTGGGCTGGGTTTCTGACAAAGATCAGTAAGGTAATAGGCCACACTGAACCTGTCAACATAGCTAATCCATTACACTGCTCTGTGTTTCACTGACTGTGGAGCAGTACACCATTACATCAGCCACACGGTGGCTAGAAGACAACAGTCAGGACATAATGAAGCAGGGGCTAAATGCAATGTGATGGAACTGCAGAAGGCAGTGATTTATTCTGCCATGAGGAAATTAACATACCGTTCAACCACTGTTGACCACACTAGACTTGATAGTTTGTGCTTACCTGTAGTAAATGAATACAAGTTTAAATGGACAGTTTATTCAAAATGAAATTTAATCTCCCTCATGTCATTCCAATCCTGTATTCTGTTATTTTTAACACAGAACACAAGATTAGATATTGTGAAAAATGTTCAAGCAGTTCTTGTCCATTCAACTACAATTCATCCACAACTGTACTATCAGACTTTTAATAGAATTAATTTTTGGATGAACAGTTCCTTTAAGGCTTGATCTTGCCAGTGGTGTTTTACTGTCCAATTAGGTGAGTGGCTGAAATCAATCTTCTTTCATTATCTCTGGTATGAGGTAATCAGGCAGTGTGTGTTTTTAAAAAGACGGACGTCATCTGCCACGGCAAATGAACAGAAATAAGTCTTTCCTCTGACTCATGACTTATTCTCACTAATGTCTATTTGCCTCGTGATGAGTGACGCTTCGTGAGCTGTCATCTACTTTGAAGTTAAACTGTTTAGCATATGGATGGGGATAAATTATTAACTGGTTTAATCCACATTTGGTGATAATTTCCTTTCATTCAAAAACACAAGAACCTATGAGTTACTGGCTCATGTGGATGTTCTAAGATGAACAATCACAATATGGGGTAAAAAAGAACCAAATTAATTGATTTATCATCTGAGGTTGGCACAAAAGGATGTTT